TTTTTGATCATCTCGGTACGATCATTTTTGACGAAGTTACACTCTCTTGAATTTTGCCTATTTTTGGATGGTAGAGTAAGGTGATCTTTTATTTTTGGCACATGTATTCTATAATTTTAAACTAGACAAGCTTCAAATTGAGTGTAACTTCGTCAAAAATGATCGTATCGAGATGTTCAAAAAAGCATTTTACAGCTTGAAATCTCTACTTTTCAGATCGACACTTTAGAAAAGGATCCTATTTATTTTTTATGGAATTACATAGGTCCAAATGGAAATGCGTCAAATCTCTAAAAATGTGTACTAAATTTAAAAGGTTTTATGGCATAAACTAGAAATCGAACACAAATGCAGTTTACTGCTTTCGAAAGAGTGAATGTTTACCTTCAATTTGCTTTTTTGTTGAGCGTTGTACGATTTTTTTCACCGAGTTATTCAACATTGAAGCAAAAAAGAACCTTTTTTCCTTTAATGTTGAATAACTCGGTGAAAAAATCGTACAACGCTCAACAAAAAGCAAATTGAAGGTAAAGATTCACTCTTTCAAAAGCAGTAAACTGCATTTGCAATTTTTTATTCGCGCCATGAAACTTGTCGAAGTTCGTAAAAAATTTTAAGATTCGTCGGGTCTCCTTTTCTATCCGTGTAATTCCATGTAATTTCCATGAAAGATCAGTAGGATCGTTTTCTTAAGTATCAATTTGGAAAGTAGAGATTTCAAGCTGTAAAATGCTTTTTTGATCATCTCGATACGATCCTTTTTGACGAAGTTACACTCTTTTGAATTTTGCCTATTTTTGGATGATAGAGTAAGATGATCTTTTATTTTTGGCATATGTATTCTATAATTTTAAACTAGACAAGCTTTAAATGAGTGTAACTTCTTCAAAAATGGTCGTATCGAGATGTTCAAAAAAGCATTTTACAACTTGAAATCTCTACTTTGCAGATCGACACTTTAAAAAAGGATCCTATTTATTTTTTATGGAATTACATAGGTCCAAATGAAAATACGTCAAATCTCCAAAAATGTGTACTAAATTTAAAAGGTTTCATGACATAAACTAAAAATCGCACACAAATGCAGTTTACTGCTTTCGAAAGAGTGAATCTTTACCTTTAATTTGCTTTTTTGTTGAGCGTCGTACAATTTTTTTTCACTGAGTTATTCAACATTGAAGTAAAAAGGGTCATTTTTGCTTCAATA